TAATGTTTATGGAGAGGGTACTTTTGAGAGAAGTCATTAAACCAAATTTGGAGGGAAGTATGATGAGGTACTATCCACAGTTGATGTTAAAAATAACAGTCACTAGTATAGGGGTGGGGGCTGGAAGAGGGGCATGAGGGAGGTTCTGATAATATGTTTCTGGTAATATCTGTTTCTTGACCTGCGTGCTGGTTACATAGGGTGTTAATTTAGTGAAAAATTACTGAGCTGTATACTTACAATTTATGTACTTTGCTGTATGTGTGGTATACTTCAAGAACTTTATTAAAAATAATACTTCATAAAAAGTATCCTTTAAAAATAGTAATAATCAGAATCCTGGTAGATATTCCCTTTGACTCACTAGAAGGCTTCCCTCTGGGAAGGCTTTTTTTCTTAAATTGTTTAATATCTAATTTATGATTATATGATTTTTTTCTTTTTTACTTTTTAATTGAGTATAATTGAGTAAAGTGCACTAATCTAAAGACTACATCTAAGTGACTTTTTACATACATAAAATCAAGATATAGCCCATTTCCAGCACCCTAGAAGTTCTGTGTTCTTTCCCAATCCATACCCTCCCCTCACAAGAGGTAAGCAATGTTCCGAGTTCTATCATCATAGGTTAGTTTTGCCTCTTCTTGAACCTCATGTAAATGGAATCACACAATATGTACTTTTGTGTCTAGCTTTTTGTTGTTGTTCAATAAAATGTTTGTGAGATTCATCCACATTGCTGTGCACATCAGTAGTTCAACCTTTTTTAATGTCATATAGTATTCCATTTTAGAAATATACCATAATTTATCCATTTTCTTGTCGATGGACATTTGGACTGTTTCCAGTTTTTCGGCAATTATGAACGCAACTGCTATGGGCATTCTTACGCATATCTTTTGGCACTAATTTCTCTTCTATATAGACTCAGAAATGGAATTGCTGGGTTGGTGAATAGGTGTAATTCACATAAATCTTCTAAATAATTAATATTCCTTTAAACACAATTAACCCTCATGTATGATACACTATTTATACAACTAATGATAGATAAACTTAATCTATCAATTAACATTTGGGATGACTCTTGGTAAAGAATTTTACCTTCTCCTTGAGTGGCGGGGAGCAGGGACTAGAGGCAGGGCTGTCAGGTGGGGATGAGTCTACCTCCACTGGCTCCTCTTCTTTGATTTTGATGTCTGGTGTGGAAGGCAGAGACATGTCAAGGGGCCCGGCAGCAGCCTGTTAAAGAAGAGAAATGATTCCCTTCAGGTTGAATCTAATTCTTTCCAGTTATAAGATGAGGGAATATGCTTCCAAGAGGCTAAGCCTTTGGTCAAAGCATTGAACTGCAAATCAAAGAAATACACATCCTACGTTTTATGTAAAACTCTGACCAGATAATTCTAGAGTCTCAGGGTTTTAGTTTCCTTAAGTATAAAATGAAAATAACACCTGCTTAACTCTAAAGAAAAAAACAAAGTCATTTAAACTTATGCCAATATGATTATATATTTTGATATACTCTTTTTAAGGAAAGTAAAATGATTTCTTGAGTCAAGTTCCTGCCTATTCCCAACCAGTGCTAGTGGCCGCTGGAAGGCTGTGGACACCTTCTCTGCCAACCAGAATGACTACACTGCCCAATTATCAGAAGTAAACAAAGACAAACTGGCTATTAAAGTCCTGCAAACAAGACAGGAAAGTTCTTTTCTGGGGACTCCCACACCTGATGGTGTTTCACTCCAAGATCTGGTACTAGAGGCTGAGAGTTTCAGGCAGGTAAGAGTTGTGGGGTAAAAAAGAAAGGAAAGACTTACCAGCTGATCAGTGAAAAAAATTAGAAATTGGTCTTAGGAACAGCACTGGAGAAAACCAGAAAGGAAAGAGAGTATTTTTCTGGCAGTGGTATAATCAACTCACAGAACTGTGGCGCCATAAATGGTTTTGCAAGAACAACAATCTGAGATGACAGCTCTCACATTGCATCATGATAGGAGGGTTGGTGTTGGAGTTCAGTTTTGTGACAAAGTGGATTCTTTGTTCTATTATTCTCATATCCTAGGCTTCTTGGTGAAAGAGGAGCTTATTTCCAACTCTTCCCTTACTACTTAATCCCTAGAAACTTCCTAAATAGCTGAGTAAACTAAAGACAATTTGGTGTCTACTATGTTAGAGAAGGTGGTAATGGTTCTTTCTCCCCAATCTCATGGGGTGTGTACAGCAAAGATGGTTTCATTTCTGCCCTCATTTTTTCTATGTTGCTAAAATATCAGGCCCAGTTTAGCTAATTCTGGGATACCATAAGTCAGAAGGGTAGTAGGGGAAAACGGCCTCTAAGTAAATACAGCCATGGGTTTAAAACCCTCTTGGGGCATCTCCAAGAAAAGCTGTGGTTCAGAAAAGTTTCAAGCTCATTAAACACTCCTGGAGACAATCTTCCACTGAGTCTGTGCTTCTCGTCAAGGAGGGGTGAAGACCCACCTCTGTACAGGCAGGAAGAATCACTGAGGGATGCCCAGTGAGGAAAGGCCTGGCCAATTATGAATTAGCCTCCTAGAAGTGTCAACAGAGCTAAAATGGCAGTGGGAAAGACTTCCAACTTTTAAAGGGATGCTAATTTTCTTGAATTTGCCTACAATGAGTTTGCTATAAAATCCCTCACATCTTGGTGGGAACAATTTAATTAATTTATTTGTTTTGGGGGAGGAGGAAAATGACAGGGGAAGTGAGGTAGGGAGGTTGTAAAATAAAATTATACTATTTAGGTTGTAGCAACTAAGTGATGAGAGACCTGGTCTCCAAAGGAAAAACAGTAACAAGAAGACTGGCTAGTTTTGCCATTTGAAAGTAGAACTACAAATACATGCCACTGAGTTTTTCCACTTTCTGTTAGTTTAAGGAGGAAGATAGCATGAACAGAAGCTCAAAGAAAGTTATAGAATCTGGGAAAGAACTCCAAAGACAAGGAAACTTTATCTTGCATTCTTACAATTTAAGCTGAATGAAAAAACCATGCACAGATGTTTTGATTTACCTGTTATCTCCCTCTTAGAAGGAAAGAACGCCCATGAAAAATTTTCTTATGTCCCAGCTTTTCTATATTCTGATGAGATGCTATGCCTCCCTGTACCACGCAAAGGGTCCATGTCTAAATGTACGTATGTTTTGGGGTATGAATTTTGGAGTCTTTTCTTAATTATTATGGAACACAGACATGATTTTATTTTTATTGTTGTAGTTTAAGTGAAAGTTTACATTTCAAGTTAGTGTCTCATACAAAAATTTATACATACATTGTTATGTGACCCTAATTGCTCTCTCTATACTGTGACAGCACACTCCTCCCTTCCACCTCGGATTTCCCATGTCCATTCAACCAGCTCCTAACCCTCTGTGCCTTCTCATCTCACCTCTGGACAGAAGCTGCCCATTTAGTGTCAAGTATCTACCTGAGCTAAGAAGCACACTCTTTAGACGAGTATCATTTTATGCACAGACATGATTTTAAATAGTGGACTAAAAATCTAGAATTCTAATTCTAAAAAAGAATAAACTTTGATCTTTCCAATTTCCTTTTCCCCAAAATTCCCTACTCAATGAGAACAAGCTTCTTTTGATTGTGCTTATTGAACTATTTCTTCTGGCCTTCCAAGCTAAGAGATTGTCAAGGGACCTGGAATATAAAGGCTAAAATCAGAATCATAGTACCTTAGGATTAGAAGGAATTCCAACATTTAAATCCTCTCTATAGTATCTCCACTAAATGGCTTCCCTATAACTGAACACACTTTGTAATGGCTTCTACCCAGTGTTCCTAATTTTACCTTTGGGCCATATAGAATAAGTTTAACCCCTCTTTTACATGAAAACTCTTCAAATATTTGAAGATCGCAATTTTGTTCACACTATATTTTCTCTTTTCTAGGTAAAATGTCCTCAATTCCTTTAAACATCCCTGAAGTGATATAATTTCTAGTTCTTTCACCAACTTGGTTCACCTCCTTTGAAAGGTATTAACTTATCAACATTCTTTTTCAAGCTTGTACCTTAGATATCACAAGAAAGATACCTGAAGGCAGGAACTACATGTTACTTATACTGAGCCTCAAGTGCTGAAACACAGAAGAGTCAAAATTCAATAAATGTTTGTTGACTGACTGAATAAAAATAGTCCAAGTAAGGATTCTGATCAGCTCAGAAAACTGTGGGAACACTGGAGGAACCCATGAGACTATGGCCCTAAGATACACTTCAAACCTGGAACTGAAGCCATTTCTGGAGACCACCTTCCAGCCAAACAATAGACAAGCCCATAAAACAAACAATAACACCCGAGAGGAACGTGCTCCTTAGAACAATCAATTATGTGAGATCAAAAGGCAATATCTGCCCAAAAATAAAGATGAGAAGGCAGGAAAGGGTAGAAACTGAGGATGAAAGGAAATGGGGAACCCAGGGTAGAAATGGGGAGAGTGCTGGCACACTGTGAGAAATGAAACCAAGGCCATGAAACACTTTATGTACAAACTATTGAATGGGAATCTTATTTGCTCTGTAAACTTTCACCTAATGCACAATTTAAAAAAAACTAAAAAAAAGATAAATACAGCATATACATAAAAATAAATAAATAAAAAGAAAACACTGGGATTTTGGCAACAAAATGTTATCTAACAAAATCTGAGCAATTTTATAATCTTTTAACATCTTCAACATATTCAGAACAGAAATAATTAAAAAAATAGATTATTGAAAAAAATTTATTAAACTAATGTACCACTGGAAGGGTAGGAGGACTGATTTTTAGTGAAGACAGACTTGTACTTATCAATCGTCTGGGCCCTCTAAAGACCTGGAAAGCTGACTAGGATTAGTGAGTACTATCTGGTTCTACTGAACAGGTTTCAGTGGAGCTCCTAGATTAAGACAGACTAGGAAGAAAGACCTGGCAACCCACTTCCAAAACAATGAAAACCCTATGGATCACAATTGTCCCATGGTGCATAGGGTTGCCATGAATTGGGCCCATCTGGAAAGCAGTTAACAACAACAACAATCTGGTACTATAGAACTAAGCCCATAATTTTGTGCTTTAACCAATTAAGTGAAGTATCCCAAGGCACAATGAAAATAGCCTAGGTCTGAACATCACCAGTTTTTCAGCAAAAGTCCCATCCTCTTGCCTTTTTCTCATCATCATCTGAAGCTTTCTTGAATTCATGTTCAAAGGAGCTAGCTAGTTCATTGAAGAGCCCCACCTCCTCACAGTTCTTTAGGAATCTAGTCGGAGTAGGAGTTTGATCTGTAGACATGAAAAGAAAAGGAAACTTTTAGTTTTGATATGAAATTAAAACTTGAGAGTTTATAGACTTCCAGGTTCCATTTCAGACTCTGACTCACGGCAACCCCATGTGTGTCAGAGTAGAACTGTGGTCCATAGGGTTTCCAATAGCTGATTTTTTTTGAAGTACATTGCCAGGCTTTTCTTCCAAGGTGTCTCTAGGTGGACTCAAACTTCTAACCTTTCAGTTAGCAGCCAGCATGCTAACCATTTGCACCCCCCAAGAACTCCTGAGCGTTTACAGAGCATGCATTTTTCTTCTTCTGTATGGAGAAAGACAGTCTCTGTGTTAGGGCAAATTTGTTTTTACGGAGCTCCAGCAGGCGAAGGCTGATGCTGGCCACCAGAGGGTGTCTGTGTTGTATTGTCTCAAGGCCAGCAGGGGGAAGACAGAACAATGTTTTGCTGTGTGAGTCAAAGGCTACCCACGTACCTACCTTTCTCCCAGATGCTGGTTTTACTCCTCCTCCTCCCAAAAAACCAAACCAAACTAAACAAAACCACCTACCTAGGTAGAGCTTTATGAAACCTCTAGATTTGAAAATTAAGTACAGTTAAGTGACATTTTCTCTTTAAACTTACTCCCTAAGTCTGAAGTTGAGCAGGGATAACCAGATGGATGTTAAAATCTGATGAGGAGAAGAAAGTGAGGATCAGATGGTTGAGTTTGCTTGCTAAAGCTATCAAATAATAAACGGTGCCTTGTCTTTCAGTGGCCACTAAGGGTCTGTTACCTTCTAAAGGCAATCCAGGCAAATGCATGGGCTAGAGAACAAGACGGCAAGATCATGAACCAGGAAAGGAAACTGCAAACAATAGAGCTCATTTCAGAGAGACCTGAGCCCAGAGCAAATTCCTGACACCAGGATATTTGGACTTAGATTTGCCAGCCAAGATATCCCCTCAGGGACTGCTCAAATCTTTCCTCAACACTGTGCCTCTGCCCTTGGAAACAGGAAGGCTCTCAGTAATCCACAGGAACTTTTCCAAGCAACTTGAATTTTAGATTTGTGTTTCTCTCTCCCCATCTTGCTTTTCTAGTTTTTCTCTCTTAGGTCAGTTGAGTCTTCTTCTCTGATCCTAACTTCTACTATCGTGATGGTTTTCCTTGATGTGCTAGTCACCTCAGGGATTCATCTCAAACGTCATATCACTATCCTGAATTACAGAAACAGAACAATGTCCAAATGATACTTCAAGCAGTGAAACCTGGGGTTAGGATTGCTTCTTCTAGCATGATCCATTGGGAATAGCCCAGTGGGATTTTCCATGGAAACAAAAAAAAATATTTTTTTAAATAAAAACCTCTTCTGAATCAGTGTTTGGAAAAGTTACCACTACCTCCCAAAATAGTTTTAAAAGGTTCTCTGGCAGCTTTGGTTGGCCAATGATAAACCCACTTTTCCTCCATCCCTTGGTGAACAGAGGTAATATCATCCTTTATGCTTAGGGAGTGCTTCAGTAAAGGCACACACAAAATCACAACTCCAGTGGAACTGGAGGCGGGTAGCTAAGGGTGTGGCTACGGCAGAAGAGAGCCTTTTTGGATCTCTGATCTGAGGTTCATATGAGCTTCTCCTGCACTTTGCTGTTCGTATTCACTTTTGGCTTTTATTTCAAAAGCTCCCGTATGCTAAATCTAATTCCTGACATTTCAGGTGGCCTCTAACCTTCAGTGAGCTCTGGTTCCTGAATAAATAGCCTGAAAATGTATAAGAAAATCCTGAGCCTACTCTGATGATTACCAAGAAATCAACAAGTGTTTACTGAAGACTTTTTATGTGTTTTGGTACTGCATGCATGTGCTTGGGTGCAGCTGGGGAAGGAGTATAGGGGTATTGTCCACATATAAGACATGGTTCCAGCCCGACAGAATAAACAGAATGTTTTCTAGTTGAGGAAATTAAACGAATATACACAGGGAAATTATAGTGTACAAAAAATAAGTGCCATGTACAGTAAAGAATAAAATCGTTGTAAAAATTAAATAAAGACAAATTAAGGTGGCCCAAGCGGTTTGTGCTCAATTGTCGGCCAAAAGGTTGGCAGTTCGAACCCACCCAGTGGTACCATGGAAGAATAGGCCTGGCAATCTGCTTCCATTAAGAATTACAGCCAAGAAACCCCTATGGAGCAGGTCTACTCTGAAACACCTGGGGTTGCCACAAGTCGGAACTGACAAGAAGAAAAAGAAGAAGTTAGGAAAGGTTTCAAGAAGTGGGACTTAAGCTGGGCCTTAAATAATGGCTTTAGATGTTAAAGAGAACATTTGGAAGGTAAAAGGGGCAAGACATAGAGAGAGGCAGATTATGGGTACCATGTGTAGATAAGAAGACATACGTATGATTAGATAAAAGGTAGATAAGGTGGATATAAATTTGGATGAGTACCATGGGTCTAGAACTCCAGGTGTTAATAGCCTTAAAATAATAGGAAATAGATAATGACAGATTTTGAACAGAGAAGCAGAATTTAAGGGAGTCTGGTTTGGTTTTTTTTGGTTTGGTTTTTCAACAGTATACAAGATGGATTAGAATGAGGACAGCCTAGTCAAGGAGGCCACTCAGGAGACTATGGAGTAACTCAAACATAATGAAGGTGGTGGCAAGAAGAACAAGAAGGAATAGAACAGAGAAAATTTGAAGAAAAAATTTAAGAATGCTGCTATCAGTGAGTAACAAAGGAGAGAAGTTCAGTCTTAGACTTGAAGAATTTGAAATGACAAAGACGGCCAACTAAAAATATTCAGTAAAGGTTGGAATACATCTAAGATACCAGGTCTTTAGAGATATGCAAACTACCAGCCTAGATAGGATAGATGAAGTCATGTGCAATAGGACAAGCACTCCAGAACAGAATGCAAAGAATAACAGGAAAACACTTTTTCTCCTTGGGACTGTCCTATAGCAATTTCTCTCACCTTCCCTGGAGACTCAGCATAAGGCCTTCATCCATTTGGAATAACCTCTCCATCTTGATAACCTTGCTCCAAATTCACCTCTTTCATAAACTTTCTCTGATTAATTCTGCTTAGTATTAATTCTCTTAATATTTATATTGTTTGTATTATTCACTTGTACTTTGCAAATACAAAAATAGTTTTCATGTATATATGCCCTGGCTTATTAATTTAAGTATGTGTTACCTACACATATACTTACATACTATCCACTCTTCTCTAAGACTTTCATAAGGATCATCAATGTCAATGTCCCTCACTCATGTTCTTTTCCCAGGGATTACATATCTATAAACTAGCAAAGTGCCTGGCACACAGTAATACTCAATAAATATTTGCTGAATTAATAAGGAATAGGAAATCTGTAAGGGCAACTCTTTCTTCATGTATAGAAGTACGACAAGAGGTTTTTCTCCTCCATGTCTAGAGTAACATTTTGGTCAGTAATTCTTAAGAGGAACTGTGTTATTAACTGATGTAATAACCACCAACTAAATTCCGTATCGATTAAATATTGAGTTAAGCTTCCAGTTGAAAGACTTGGGCTAAATCAGAATCTCTCATGGTATCAGAGAAAAAGCTCACTTTGGTTTGTATGTCTGTCTAGCTGAAACTGGTACAAGAGAACTGCTGCTTGGTTTTGAGAGCATTTGCCGAGAGTACGCCCCTGCCAGTAGCACATGTAAGCAAGACAATATCTAAAACAACTAGTGAGACATTCCAGGTTACCCAAATTGGCTTAGAAAAGCCTCATTGACTACATTGTTTAAGCTTTGGAAATGTGCCCTCAATGGTGTCTGGGTTCAGGAGGAACTTGGAATTTACAAACTGACAATCTGCCTGTTTGGGAAAACTGACACTCAGTAGAAGAGGAGCAGCCAGTCCAGGTCGGCTTTCTTGCCTTCTTTTGTTCACCCCCTCACTATGGGTAGGGAGAAATGTCAAAGGCATCTTTTGTCTATAAATCTTTCCAAAGTCTTAATAAAAAGGCAGTAAGGAAGGAGTAGACTGAAAAAAGCTTAAACAAAACCTCAACACACCTACCCTCAAAAACCGCAGAACCCGATACTGTTATTAAAAACAGAGGGTGGAGGGCACAATAGAAACTTGGGAGCTTTTAGTGTTCCTTTTTCCTGATTAAATGCAGATCACATAAGGGCTCTTAATGGGAGAAGGGGAGTAGAGCTCCCAGTACATCTGGTCCCTGGTATTAATCTTAACTGTCTAGTGGTATCAAGGCAGTTGGCTTTTGGGGCAGCAAATACCTGCAATGATGACTGAGTCAGTTCGGGCTGGGCCAAATTTCAATGTCATCTCATGCTTGTGTTTATGAACTGCCAGGTGGTCCTCGTTTGTAAATCTCTGAAATGAAACAGAAATGGAGATGTGAAAAAAAAAAAAAGAAAGAAAGAAAAAGCGATTCAATGCCCTTTTTAAATGTTCTCCTAAATATCCTGCAATAAGGTTTGTCCCTCGAAAGAGAGACTGGACAGGAGAAAATTGGAAGTAATGAAAAAGGAGAGGAGATGGAGAATAAAGAGAAAATGGAGAGGGAGAAAAGAGGCGCTAAAAAGCAGGGAGGAGAGTAGGGAGGGAGGACCGTAGCACCAACTGCTCTGTAATATCAAATCCAAACGAGCGAAGTGGACAGATTGTTAGTGAAGTGAGGTCCAGGCAGGAGGCTCCAAATGAAAAAAAACATTAAGGCAAACTCGTAGCAAACAAGGGGAAAATAATTTTTAATAATAATAATAAAGAGAGAAGAAGGGAAAGGCTGGGCATTCATTGGTCATCGCAAAATAGGATATTCAGAATGAAGCTCTCCATGGTGGGGTTGAATTGGACCATTATGAGGGGGCTAGCAGGGAGATAAATTATGCAGGATTAGGAGAACCATTTAACTTCCTGGCCCCCACAGTGCTGCAGCAGGCGCCTGCGCGGCTATTTGGCTCAGGGTTTTAATGAGCCAGCATGGAGCTGTAGAGAACTGATACCCAATGGCCAGCAGTAACAGCACACACCAGCCCCATCGGCCAAATGCTGCCTCCCCTCATCAGGCAGCCTGCCTGGGCTCCATTAGCCATAAATGGGCCAGTACAATGCTGCTGGCTGTATAATGGTAGAATAAAAATGCAAGCTAAAGGGTTTTGGTTTTTTTTCAGGGTGAGGAGGAGCCCGTAGGCAGGATGAAGGAAGGCAAATGGATTTTGTTTAGGGGGTTGGGTGAAAGGATAATGAAAAGATGAGGTTAGGTCTGTTCCAGTTTATAACTAAGACAGGGTTACTGGACAATAATTTATGTTCCTGCCCCGTCTTTAAAAGGGGGAGATGAAGGGAACAGACTAACAGCAGTAATTCAAAAGAACAATATCCTCAAAATTCCCTTTGAGAATGGCTGACCATGTTCCTTCATTAAAACACGCCTGAAACACATTAACAGCTTGGATGCTGCAGTTTTCCACAGCTCCTTCACCAGTATGGCTCTGAAGCATGGCTCTATTTGTCCTTTTGTTTCTAAAAATAGTGATTGGTTAGCTTCCTCTTTTCACTTTCTTCATTGGATACATACTTCCCTCTAAGCACTACACCTTCAGCCCTCTTTTCTACAACTCTTCTTGACTCCACCCAAATTGACAGGAGTTGGCCCTATCCTACCCAGCTCCTACCCAGTCAAGAAAGCAAAACTGAACTGTAAAGTCTCCTTCATTTTAATTGAAAGTGGCCTTCCCCCAATATGCTCTGAGTTCTTTAACAAGGACAGCCAGCTTAAGATCCAAAATCCTTTCAGACTGAAGGGTAGAGGGAATTTTCAATTAAAAGTATGAAGAACTAAGAAGAAGTAAAACAGTCACAAGACTGCCTTAGTTTCCAGTGGTTTCCAACTGATGTAGGACAAAATTGAATAAACTGTGGAAATATTTAGCTAAAATAATAACTTCTGTTTTCTCCATTGTTAGTTAACCCCGGCAATAATCTTTTCAGTCACAGATTTTTCCCTGAGGCAAAAGGGTGGAAGTGAGGGGAAAGGAGAGAATATCTAGTGCTGCTATAACAAAAATATCACATGTGGGTGGCTTTAATAAACAGAAATTTATTTTCTCACAGTTTAGGAGGCTACAAGACTGAATTCAGGGTGCCAGCTCTAGGGAAGGCTTTCTCTCTGTGTCAGATCTGGAGGAAGGTCTCTGAGCTTCTGCTCCTGGGCGATCTTCATGTGGTTTGGCATCTCACTTCCCCATCTCTGCTTGCTTGTTAAATCTCTTTTATACCTCAAAAGAGACTGACTCAAGAACACCCTACACTAATCCTGTCTTATTAACATAACAAAGAAACCCATTCCCAAATGGGATTATAACCACAGGCACAGAGGTTAGGATTTACTGCACTTATTTTTGGGGGACACAGTTCAAACTATAACATTCCATCCTTTGGCCCCTCAAAATCCATAGTTCTTGCCACGTGCAAAACACATTCACCCAAAAGTCTTAACTCCAAGTCTCAAATCTCCTCTTCTGAATCATCTAAATTAAATATGGGTTAGACTTTAGGCATATTCCATCCTGGGACAAAATTTCCCTTCATCTGTGAACCTGTGAAATCTAGAATACAAATTATCTGCTTCCAAAGCACAATGGTGGAACAGGCACAAGGTAGAAATTTCCACTACAGATGCGAGAAACTGGAGGGAAAGAAGGGACAATGAGCACTAAGCAAGCCCAAAACTCAGAAGAACAATTTTACATTAGCTCTCAAGTCTTGAAAATAATCCTCTAGATTCTGGGTGCAGGCCCCTCGGCTCTGAGCTTCAGCTCCACCTTCCAGTGCCACTGGAATGGCAACTCTTTTCCCTCAGCTTTGGGCAGCCCCATTCATCTGAGTGGTGACCACAACCGCTAAGCCCCAGCAGGCCCTGTTCTTCTGCCCCTTGGGCATGGCAGCCCTGCCCCCTCAGCTTTGGGTGGCAGCCCCACCCCCCTGGCACACTTTAACTCTCTCTGTGGGCAGACCCACACTCCAAAACCAAGTTGGTGAAGATCCGACTCTTTGAAATCTAGGAGGCTGTGGCCCCACTCTTTGAGATCCAGGAGACCGTGGCCCTACCCTTTGAAACTGAGAGGGCCCTGCTTCCTGTGCTCCTTCCAACAGTTCTGCTGATCTTCAAGCTGCTTCAGGGATGGTCCTTTTCTTTTCCTGGAGGACAACAGATGTAGCTCCTTTGGCCTGTTTCCTGCCTGTAGAATTTCAAGAGGCAAACAGTTTTCTTTCCTTTGGTCCTGTCTCTGACCCCTTCAGTGTAAGCTGATGGGTTTTCTGCTGTGGTACTTGGTTAGATCCATCAGTCACAAGCTTAATTTCTTTAACAAAAAGTTGTGTAGCCACATCCTTGGTGAACATTCTAGGACACATGTCCGTAGTTTGTACAACAGAATTTTCCAAATCTTTAAACTCTGTTTTCATTTTGCACAGTTCATTTTAAAGTCCATCTCTTTCCTTTCACATTTCAGTATAAATGGTGAGGAGAAACCATGCAGCCCCTTTAGGATCTTGCTTAGAAATCTCCTCAGCCAGATATCCAAGCTCATCACTTACAAGTTCTGCCTTTCACCAAACATGTGAACATAGTGACAAGTTCTTTGCCACTGCATAAAAAACACTGCTCTTCCTCCATTGTTCAATCATATGTTCATCATTTTCTTTTAAAGCCTCACAAGAAGCACATTTAATGCCTACATTTCTAGCAACATTCTGTTGCTGGCACCATATTATTCTGTAAGAGGATAGAGACTTTCTCTATAGCTCTCCTTACTTCCTTCTGAGCCCTTACCAGAATTGCCTTTGACATCCATTATTCTACCAACAATTTCTTCAAGGCAATCTAGGCTTTTACTAATAGGCACCTTAAAACTCTTCTACCCTCTACCCATTACCCAATTCCACATTTTAGGTATCTGTTAGAGCGCCACCCAACTCTTCTGGTACCAAATTCTGTCTTAGTTATGTAGTGCTGTTATAATGGAAATACCACAAGTGGGTGGTTTTAACAAACAGAAATTTATTTTCTCACAGTTTAGGAGGCTAGAAGTCTGAATTCAGGGTGCCAGCTCTAGGGGAAGGCTTTCTCTTTCTGTGGGCTCAGAGGAAGGTCCTTGTCTCTTTCAACTTCTGCTCCTGGGTGATCTTCATGTGGCTTGGCATCTCTCTTCCCCAGTCTCTGCTTCTGCTTGCTTATTTAATCTCCAAAGAGATTGACTCAAGATATACCCTACACTAATCCTGTCTCATTAACATAACAAAGACAATTCATTCCCAAATGGGATTATAACCACAGGCACAGAGGTTAGGATTTACAGTGTATACTTCTGGGGGACACAATTCAAACCACAACAGTCTGTTAGCGGGGATATGATATCTGTAAATTAAAGCAACTCACTATGGAGGGTCTAGGGTTGCCATATATTCGGTAAAAGGAAATGAGTAGAACCTAGTGTACAATGGAGAAAAATGAAACATGAATAGGAATAGTAGTGGAATAGGCAGGGTTGTCAGTTTTCAAAATGTACTGGTAACGTTATAGTAATCTTTTTCAAAAATATGTTTATGAGTACTTTAAGAAAATTTCATGTAGGTAACTTGAACTTTCTGTACAATATTTAGAATCTAGAAAAATTATTTTCAAGCAAAATGCCCTCTTCTACTATAAGAAATCTAGTTTGCTCAAAATTAAACTAGGAGAAAGATTTTAAATCCCATCAGGTTATTCTCTGCTTAGGATTGTTTAATATTTTAAAAGGCAACTCCTCCTTCTGTTACAACTCTGCCCTATTTGTCCTCTAGTTTTTGTTCCTCTCCCCTAAATACTCCCCCAACACACTACCCCTGCTCCTTCTTGAGCTATTTATTTTTTCCAAATCAAAAGTGGAGCCCTGAGTGAGACCATACACAATACAGGGGAAACCAGCACAACTTGTACAAGGAAAGGTCATGGAAGCTCCATAGACACATCCAAACTCCCTGAGGGACTGAATTGCTGGGTGGAGGGCTGTG